CATCACTTCATGGTTTTGTTACTTAGGGTAATTACTTGACCTCTGGAAATATAAATTTCCTCATCTCTAAAAGAGGAATGGTGATAATTTTGTGACTGGGTTGTTATAAGAACTAAATGTAGTACTTTATGTAAAACACCTACATGTCAGTATGCAAGTATATAACCAATACTTGTATCCTAACAACAAAAATAGTACATCATATGCATGAGTTTTTTTATATCCTCTATTAGACTATAAACCTTGTGCATATTTAAAGTACCAACCATAATGTAAATGCTCAATTAGCATTTGTTAATATTCTAAGGGTTCAACCAGATTTCAAAACATGGCAAACAGTATGATAACTCATATCACTATGATGGATATAATCAAATTAACTGAAAGCTTCAGAGTATGCTTAAAAATGTTTTTGGTCTATCTTTTATAAATAGAGAAGTCTGTAGCACTAACCACTTTTCAGTGTCATAAACTATGGTCCTGAGTCTTTCTGTCCACAAGAAAATAACTTCCACCATGAAAAACACCTTCAGGAGAAAACAAAAAAGCCTGCAGCATTTTATACCACTTCTACTTTTCACATTCATGCCTCTGCTCCTGTAGTCACAGATACGAATGCAAAAAAAAAAAAAAAAAAAAAGGCAGAATGCAATTCTAATACCATTACATAGTAATCCAGCAGCTTCTTCATATTTATAAGCAACATTTTAGCTGACAAGAGCAAAAATACCACAAACTGAACAAAGGATAAGATAATTAAATTGATGAGTGTCTGGTACCATGGATATCACCTTTTCCAAATGGTTGTATATTTCAATTTAGTTTCAAATGAAAAAACAATCATAAAGATCACTCTGAAAAAACATTCCCTCCTTGCACTCTAGGATTAATCCCTGCCCCCTCCACGCCCCATTCAAGGTCCCTTGGGTATCAAAGGGAAACAACCATCTTGAAGCTTCAGATAATTAAATCATAATTTACAGAATAATAAATCAAAGTCCTTAGCTAAGATTCAAGAGAAGTTATGTCAATTCAGTTCTAAAAATGTAAAAGAAGGATGCTGCCTCCTATCCTACTGAATAAAAATATCCCTGTGATGCTGCATGTTAAAACCTTTGTTCTCAAGCTAAGCAATTAAAGCACAGGTTTTCAAAACTAGGAATTTCTTCCTTTAGGTCAAATTAGGCTTTTTAAAACACACAAAAAAACCTTAAAAGCTATTGTAAGAATAATGAATGATGTAAAACATCCTTTTCTTTTTTTATTTTATTCCTCTGTTATACGTATATGCCTTTCACTGAAGCTATTTTTCTACCATTTTGCTACATTCCATACACTACCGAGAAAACAAAGACTGCTACAGATTACCTGGATCACCGGACAAATCAGCAGACAAGTAAAAGCTCAAAAGGCTGTTTCCATGGAGTAGAGGAGAATGAAATCCTCACCAAAACACCACTCCCTTACCAATCTTAGGCTTTTTCTTTATATATACACTCGACATCCTTGGAACAGCATTTGTCAGATGATTTTACTGACCACAAGAGGGATGATATGAAGAAACCCCACCTCTTCTCCCACCCCCAATCATCTACCATCATCAACTGAAGCCCAACACTGCACTGCTAAGGGAAAGGCAAAGAACAGCATCCGTGTACACTGCTCTAGAAGATTACACCATAAAAATAAATAAAAGACAAAGAAAGGAAAGATTTACCTGACAATTTTTTAAGGGAGCAGGCCAAGCAGCTCCCTCAAATTTTAAATACTTGTAAGAGATTCAATTACAGAGCCACAAAAAAATTAATTTTCTTCAGAATTTCCTGAAGAAAGTATAATTTTTAGAAAAACATATAGTGTCTCTACCAAAAACGGAGTTCCTCAAATATCTTAAAATTTTGTTGTTGCTACTACTCCTTTCCCTAAAGCCAAATAAATTAGGATTTACAAAAACAGTCTCCTTTTGGTGGTAGTATGACCCCTTCAAAGATAATCTGGGACAGGAGGTGGGGGTGGAAGAGAAACAGATAAAAAAGGGGAGGAGGAAAAATATCTTCTGTCCCAATAAGCCTAATGAAGCTTGTAAGCAAGGCTGAGAGAACTGAAATTTCTTCATGCCACTCTGTCTGTTTGTGTTTGATTATTGTGAATCTTCCCTTCCCTTCCCTAACTGTGCCCCAGGCTCTATGATGTCTGGCACTCTGTTAACTAGCATCTCTGCCACTTACAGTAGAAGGAGGGAGGAACAAGAACACACTCACTCAGTCTAATCCCTAGAAGCTATGTTATTTTGCTAAAACAGTAATTTGTCTCAAACACTGCTCTCTAACAAATGCATTATTACACTACGAAGACTCATTAGCCTCTACTTTCCTTTTCTGAAGCATCAACCCAATTTGACAATTTGTACACACACAATTTCTGGGATCAACATATTAGCAATGAATGAAAATCAGATTCTTTGTTTTATAAAAGATATTCCCTAAAACATTTGACTATATCTAATTTTAAGATAAAACCCAGTAATCATTTCACTCACATATATTATAGCCCAGGGTTCTGTGAATTTATAAATGAATTCACAGAACCTGAGAACCACAGTTAGTGATCTATGAAGAATCAGCTTCCAAGAAACCAATACCTTGGCAAATGTAGTTTGTAAAAAATAAACAAATAAAAGAAGAAGAACCAAAAGATAGATAGATGAGTAGATTTTACAGATTTTCTAAACCAGAGAGTAATGATTTTAATGCTCTCCTTGGGTAATACTAACGAACAAATTTGCTGAATTTATGGTTTATAAGTACTTCATAGAGAAGCAGTGATACAACATACCATACAACCATATGACCTGGAAATCTCACTCTTAGGTATTTACCCAAGTGATGTGAAAATTTACGTTCACAAAAAAACTTGTCCATGGATGTTTATAACAGCTTTACTCATAACTGCTAAAAACTAGAAGTAACCATGATGTCCTTCAATGGAGAAATGGACAAACAATGATTCATCCATACAATGGACTAATACTATTTAACAATTTAAAAAGAATGAACTATTAATTCACACAACATGGATAAATCTTAAATGCATTTTACTATGTTAAAGAAGTCAGATGCAAAATCCAAACATTTTCATATCATTCCATTTATATGTCACTGGAAAATGCAAAGTTAAAAACAGATTAGCAGTTACTAGGGATTAGGGGTGGGAAGAGTGGTTGACTACAAAGGGGACACACAGGGGAACATTTAGAGTGCAGGATCTGTTCTGTTAGATAGTAGGGTGGTGGATACATGACTCTACTCTTTTGTGAGAACCCACAGAATTGAACATTATGAAGAGTGAACTTCAATGAATGCTGATCAAACAACAAACAAAAAAACCATCAACCAGAAGATTCCAAGATGAAATGCAGACTGTGACAAATGAATCTAACTGCATTATAACTTATAAAATAACTGCACTGAAGGAGTGGAGGAAAAAAGCTGACCTAACTAACTTTGGAATACAATGTTTTCACTGGAAATTGTAAGGCTAATGACAAAAATAAACACTGCACTCTAACCGGAAAATTTGTTTCTCATGGGTATATGGGTTAACAGTCCTGAAATAGCTTTTCATGTATACTAGAACTGAACAAATAAGTAAATGGATAATGGATCACTGGAACTAGGTTTCTCACTATCAGATAGGGAAGTCACACATAAACAAGAAAGGAAGACTAGAGCGAATCCTATGGTACTGGATTAAAATCAGAGCCATCAGCGTGAACTCATGTTCAACTTAATATATATACAAATGAATACAGAAACAATTATCGATACAAGCATACACATGGGTTAGTATACATACATATATTACCTAGCTCTGTCCCTTGAGAGGGCCTAAAAGCAATGGCACCCCAACAGCAATGAGCACACTGAGCACCCACATTTTGGTTTCTAAATACCATTCTCCAATAAAAGGAATGACAGCTCCTTGAAAAAATGGCTAATTCTACAACTAGGGCAAAGAAAATACAAGATGAGCCTGGAGCATCTTGCAGTACCAAAAAGAAAGTGCTCAAAAAAAAAACGGGCAAGTGCCAACCTGAAAGCCTTTTCTAATAGTCTAAGTTGGAAGGATATGAGCAGCAAAATAAAAACATAGTTGTGGATTCAAACTTAAAGTATAAAATAAATATACATTAGTCCACACTGATATAAGAAATTGAATAAATAAATAAATGGAGGAAGACACAAATCTTCCTTACAGAAGAATTCCAAATCATATATGTAGGTACTTCCTCCTCCCCCAAGCATGGATTGGACTTAAGTGACCTGCTTCTAAAGAAGAGAGTATGGAAAGAGAAAAAGAGTAACTTTAGAGTGGAGAAACCTGGCAAACACTACCTTAGTCAAGTGGTCAAGGTTAATACCACCAGTAATGTCATGTAGACATCATATTCCCCTGATATGATGAAATGAAAGGAGCACTTTGTCTCTGTAGTATTCTTTCCAAAAATGCATAACCCTAATAATGAGAAACAGAAGCAAACCCAGACTGGGGGATATTCTAAAAAAATACCTGGCCAGTACTTCTCAAGGCTGTTAAAGTCATGAAAAACAAGGTAAGCCTGAGGAACTGTCATAAACCAGAAGAGACTGGGGAAACACAAAAATTAAATGCAATGTGGTATCCTAGATTGGATCCTGGAAAAGAAAGAGACCATTAATGGAAGAGGCGGTGAGATCTAAATAAAGTCTGCAGTTTAGTTAATACCAATGTCAGTTTCTTAGTTTTGACAGATGAACCATAATAATATAAGTGTTAACAATGAGGAAAATTAGGTGTGAGGTATATGGGAACTCTCTATACTATCCTTGCAACTTTTCTGTAAATCTAAAATTATTCCAAAATAAAAAGGATACTGAATAAATAGTCTATGATGCTAGAAGTCAGAACAGTACATGCTCTTAGGTAGTGACTTCAATTGTTGGTTAAAAACATTCCCACAAATGGGGCCGGCCCTGTGGCCTGGTGGTTAGGTTCGGTGCATTCTGCTTCAGCAGCCGAGGTTCAGTTCCCAGGCGTGGACCTGCACCACTTGTTGGTGGCCATGCTGTGGCAGCGAACCACATACAAAATAGGGGAAGACTGGCACAGATGTTAGCTCAGGGTGAATCTTCCTCCAGTAAAAAGCAGAAGATAGACAATGTATGTTAGCTTAGGGTGAATCTTCCTCAGCAAAAAAAAAAAAAAAAAAAAAAAAATCCCACAGAGAAAACTCCAAGCTCAGATAACTTCATGGGTGAATTTGCACAAACATTTAAAGGAAGAAATAATAACTACATAAAACAAACATTTAAAGGAAGAGATAATAAATAATCCTACACACACTCTTTCTGAAAACAGATGACACTTCCCAACTCATTTCCTGAGGCCAACATTACCCTGATATCAAAACAAGGCAACGACATTACAAGAAAATGCAAAACCAATATCCCTCATGAACACAGATATAAAAATCTTCATCAAAATATTAGAAAACCAAATCTATCAATATATACAAAGAATAATACATAATGACCAAAGGGGGTGTATTCCAGGAATGCGAGGTTGGCTCAACATTCAAAATTCAATGTAATTCACCACATTACCAGTCTATAAAAGAAAAAAACATATGATCATCTCAATAGATGCAGAAACAGCATTTTATAAAATTCAATACCCATTAATGATAAAATTTCTCAGAAACTAAGATAGAAAGTAACTTCTCCAAACTGATAAACGGCATCTATAAAAAACAAACATATAACATCATACAATCAATATTTGATTACCCCCAAGATCAAGAACAAGGCAAGGATGTCTACATGTCTACTCTCACAACGTCTATTTAACATGTTAGCTAGAAGAGTAATACAATAAAAATAAATATATAAAAGGTTTACAGACTGAAAAGAAAGAAGTACAATTGTCTTGAACCACAGATGATATAATCATCTATGTAAAAAATCCAAAAAAATCTATTAAAAAAACACTAGTGGAACTCATAAGTTTAGCAAAATAACAGTATACAACATCAATAAACAAAAACGATTATATACCAGCAACAAATTAAAAATTAATTTTTAAATACCGTTTACAATAACCTCAAAATAGATAAAATACATAGAGATGAAGTTAAACTATGTGCAAGACCTGTACACTGAAAACTACATAATCTTTTAAGAGAAATTAAAGACTTCAATAAATGGAAAGTGACATAAATAGAAGATAAAGACAATAACAACAACAAACACAGAGATACAGAGATTAGATTGGTGGTTACCAGAGGGGATGGGGGAGGGAGGAAGGCAAAAGGGGTAACTAGGCACATGTGTATGGGGATGGATGGTAATTAGTCTTTGGGTGGTGAACATGATGTAATCTACACAAAAATCAAAATATAATGATGTACACCTGGAATTTATATAATGTTATAAACCAGTGTTACCTCAATTTAAAAAAAATGAAAATAAATAACAATAATTAACCCATTAAAATTAACATAAATACTTTTATGAAAAATAACTGTATTTTTCAAAAAATCAAAAAAATTAGTGAGAAAAAAATACAATAAAATAAATAGTGAGATTATGTTCATGGATCAGAAGACTCACACCGTTAAGATACTGATTATCCCCAAGCTGATCTAGATTCAACACAATCATATTCAAAATCACATGTTTTTTTAAATAGTAACTGACATGCTGATTCTAAAATTCATATGGAAATACAACAGATCTAGAAGAGCTGAAACAATTTTTAGGAAAACAACAAAGTTGGAAGACTTATACTATCTTTTTTCACAATTTAAGATAAAGTTAAGGTAATCAAGACATAAGGATAGGCATATTAATCAAAGGAACAAAACAGAGAAAGTATAAACAGACCCACGCATAGATGGTTGATTGAGTTTTTAACACAGATGCCAAAATAATTCAACAGAGAAAGAATTGTCTTTTCTACAAATAGCATTGGAACATATGCAAAAACAAACACACACACAAACAAACCTCAATTCTTACTTCACACCATATATAAAAATGTTAACTTGATATATATCATAGTCCTAAACATAAGAGCTAAAACTTCTAGAAAAAGTTACAAGAAAATTCTTGTGACCTTGGGTTACCTCAAGATTTTTCAGATAGGACCCACAAAATAAAAACATAAAAGAGAAAGTTGATAAATTGAACTTCATCAAAATTTAAAACTTCTGTTCTTTGAAAGACACTGTTAAGGAAATAAAAGGACAAGCCACAAACTGGGAGAAAAATTTTCAAAACACTTACCTGATAAAGAACTTGCATCTTACCTCTCAATAATAAGAGAAGCCAATATTTTAAAAGATTTGAACAGACACTTCACAAAAGAAAACAAGTGGCAAAAAACCCATGAAAAGTCCTCAACATCATTAATCATAACAGAAATACAAATACAAAATACGAGATGGCCATTGACATCCACTAAAATTAAAATGATTGATAATGCCAAGTGTTGATGAGGATCTGGAGCAACTGAAACTCTCCTACCTTGCTGGTGAGAATGTAAAATGATAGAGTCACTCTGGAAAACAGTTTGGCAGTTTCTTATAAAGTTAAACATATACTTATCACACAACTTAGCAATCCTACTTCAAGGTTTTTACCAAAGAGAAGTGAAAATGTATATCACATAAAAATCATACGCAATGTTCAGATTTATTCAAAATAGCCCAAACTGGAAACAATCTAAATGTCCATCAATAGGTAAATGCATAAAGAAACTGGTATAGTCACACAATGGAATACGATATGACAAGAAAAAGGAGCAAACTACTACAATATGCAACAACTTGGATGGAAAAGCATTAGAGAAGACAGACATAAAAAGATTACACACTGTATGATTTCATTTACATGAAGTTCTAGAAAAGGCAAAACTCTTGTGACAGCAGATCAGTGGTTGTAGGAAACTAAACGAAAAAAATGCATGAGAGGGTTGGCCCCGTGGCTTGGCAGTTAAGTGCGCACGCTCGGCTGCTGGCGGCCCGGGTTCGGATCCCGGGCGCGCACCGACGCAGCGTTTCTCCCGCCATGCTGAGGCCGGGTCCCACATACAGCAACTAGAAGGATGTGCAACCATGATGTACAACTATCTACTGGGGCTTTGGGGGAAAAAAATCAATAAATAAAATTAAAAAACAAAAAAAAATGCAAGAGAGAACTTTTTGGGGTGAAGGAAACATTCTACAGTAGTCCCCCATATACAGGTTATAAGTTCCAAGACCCCCAGTGGATGCCTAAAACAGCAAATAGTATCGAACCCTATACATACTATGTTTTTCCTGTGATAAATGCTTAGTATAGGAAAAACATAGCTTATAAAAGTTATAGCCACAGTGTGAAAGTTATAAAACTTTTATAAGTAGGTTATAAAGTTATAACTTTTTAATGTATACCTATATATGACATATAAAACTTTTATATGTATAAAGACATACATTTTAAATGTAACTTCTACAAAATTATAAAAGTTACAGCCACAGTGTAACTTTTGCAATTTGAAGTGTGAGAGCAAAACTAGGAGAATTTCTTTTTCCTTCTTCACAATTCCATGGATAGAAGATTCCTTCTTACTGTAGATCTTAGCAACCTCAGCATATGATTTTTTTCCTTTCCTATTAAGTTGAGAACTTGCACCTTTTCACTTAAAGGAAGCACTTTACAGCTTCTCTTTGGCATATTTGTATCGCCAGTATCACTACTCTTGCGCTTTGGGGCCATTATTAAGTAAATATGGGTTACTTAAACACAAGCACTGCAATACCGGGACAGTTGATCTGATAACCAAGACTGCTACTAAGTGACTAATATACAGGGTGGATACATTGGACAAAGGATCACGACATCAGGGGCAGGACAGATTGGGATGGTGCGAGATTTCATCATGCTGCTCAGAATGGCTGGCAATTTAAAACATAAATAGTTTATTTCTGAAATTTTCCATTTAATATTTTCAGACTGTGGTTGACCATGGGTAACTGAAACCTCAGAAAGTGAAACCACGGATAAGGGGGGACTACTGTATATCCAATTATAGTAGTGTTAGTTAAAAACTGTATACACTTGTCAAAGCTCATCAAAATACACAAGTGTGGGACCAGCCCCATGGCATAGTGGTTACGTTTGGCGGGCTCCACTTCAGCAGCCCAGGTTCACAGGTTTGGATGCTGGGCCCAGACCTATACCACTTGTCAGCCATGCTGTGGTGGCGAGCCACATACAAAATAAAGGAAGAACGGCACAGATCTTAGCCCAGGGCCAATCTTTCTCAAGCAAAAAAAGAGGACTGGCAATAGATGTTAGCTCAGGGTGAATCTTCCTCAGCAAAAAAAAAAAAGTACTGATGAGTGAACTTCAATAATATGTAAATTCTATCTCAAAATAGTTTATTTTTTAAAAGATAAAATGAAAAGAAGTCCAGAATTTACATAGCTGATAAACTGACTAACTTCTCTAACTTCCTACCTAAAATATTAAAACCTAAGTTGTTTTAGATCAACACAAAATCTTTAGAATTTCACAGGAAAATAAACCCTTATTTCAAAAATAAAACTTGAAAGGTTGAACATTTTAAAAATATAATTCTTAGCTGACATATTATTTGTAAAAATATTTAACATTTCAATGAACACTATATCAATATGATGACTTACTTCAATACCTTAAAGCCCAAGCAATGACCCAACTAGGATATTCTTACCAGAACATTCCAACACTTTACAGTGGAGAAAGCTGACAAACACTACTTTGGCCAGGTGATCAAGATCATCATCCACAGTCATAAATTGTGTTGACAGTATGTACCCTTGATATGAAGTGACAGAAACCACACTATATTTCTGTGATCTTCCTTCCAACAACCCATAACTCCAGTCTAATCATGAGAAAAACACCAAACAAATTCCTATGTAGGGGCATATTATAAAGTAGCTGACCAG